TATATATATATAAATAAACATTTTGAATTTTGCTTCATTTGCCCTTAGATCCATTTGCCTCATTCAACAACAAAAGACTGACATCATGGACATTTTTGGGGGCGCCCCTCGTGTTTTGGGTTACCCACGGCCTGTTTTAGTACAATGTGGCGCTGACGCCACTCTCAGATGCCAAATCGGAGGAGACCCTCGTCCTGATGTGATCTGGGAGCGCAAAAACATCCCGATCGTCACTGAAGGACGGTACAAGCTCTCAGAGGAGGGAAAGTTCTACCTGCTGAGCATCCATGGGGTAAGCGAGACGGATGCAGGGCAATACATCTGCAAAGCCAGAAACAATGTTGGGGAAACCTATGCAGCAGCATCCCTCAAAGTGGAGGGAAATGACCAGCAACTGGAAGTGAACGGTGTCGAGCAGCACATCACAGAAAATGAGCATATGAATGGAACCAGCACATTGCAGAATGGAGACCATATAGAAGAGAATGGTGACCAGACGGAAGGGAATGGAGCACACAAATTTGACCCAGAGGTTGACTTCACATCCGATGACAAACCCAAGTTTCTTCTCATGCCCCGATCGTTGCGAGTGGACAGAGGAGAGGATGCTGCCTTCTCATGTAAGGTCTGGGGCAGGCCTTTGCCAGAGGTAGTATGGGAAAAAGATGGCAAGAAACTGAATGACATCTTTGAGAGTGCCCACTTCTGCATCAGCATTCAAGACGGAGGATGGTTCCATCTCAAGATTAACAGAACACGCATGCCTGACAAGGGTGTCTACACCTGCAAAGCCATGAACTGCAATGGCGAGGCCCTGGCTGGTGCTGTGCTCCTTGTTGAACCTGTGCCCGAGCGAGAGGATGGCAGAAAGTCCAACCGGCGGTCGTCAAAACACATAGAAGAGGAGCTCAGTTTGTCAAGGCTCAGGGAGAAGTCGCCGATCAGTACGTCAAAGGTCAAGAAGTATGTAGTGGCAGAGGGGAAACATGCAAAGTTCCGCTGCTTTGTCACAGGGAAGCCAAAGCCAGACATCATCTGGAAGAAGGACAGTGTGCCCCTCAAGCCAGGAAGGCGCCACCTTATATTTGAGGACAGGGAAGGTTATTACACACTGAAAGTTCTGTACTGTAAAGTTCAGGACACAGGACTATATGCGTGTGAAGCATCCAATGCCCTTGGGGATACTCTCAGTGCAGTTCACCTGTCAGTCAAAGGTAAGATCCAACTTATTCAACACTACCAAACTATTTTTTGTGTGCAGTGTCCTGCTTATTTATCCACACATCTTTTATGCCACTTGTACTATTCAGGAGGAAAGCTAGAGCCTCCCAGATGCCTTTGGGTGAGAAATGGGATACACCCATGAATAATCAGATATCAGGCACCAGGCTCACATTTACACAGACACCTGTGGGCAATTGCACTTCTTGAAATGAACTTACATAGAATGCTCTGGACTGTCGGAACAAAGGAAGCGTCAGTACCCAGCGAGAACTCCTGTTAGGACAGGGAGAACAGTCACACATTGACAAGCCACAAGAGCCACGAGATTCAAATCTACATCCAAAGACAAATGTCTTGTGGCACATTTTAATCCATTTCATTACCACTTAATATATTCAAGGTCACAGGTGGTTATGTAAATCCCAGTTTAATTTGGGAGGAGGCATTGCACTCACAAGATGAATATATAGGCCTCCTGCTTGCATTCTTCTCCTCCTCCTCGTACGTGTGTGGGTTTTCTCCAGATATTCCCACTTCATCCCACATTCTAAAATCATTCCCATTTGGTTCATAGAAGACTAAATTGCCAATAGGTACGAATATGAGTGTGATTGATTGCCAACCATGCAGTCCAAGGTGTAAACCCCACCTCTTGCCCAAAGTCAACTGAGATAGCTGGAGGGAAGGGAGATGGAGAGGCCTCCTTATTGAAGAGAGAAGAGGACACTAAATACATGATATAGATTCCCAAATGTGGCTTTAAAGAGTGAAACAAATCATGGCCCTCTCTTTGCTCTTAAGGCACCCATGTGCGATTTAAGCATCCGTTAAAAGATTTGGAGGTAAGGGAGCGGAATGTTGCCGTTCTGGAATGCGAGGTACCCGATGAGTCAGTCCTGGCCACATGGTACCATGAGGATCAAAGGTTGATGCCCAGCAGCAAATATAGGATTGAGCAGCAAGGCACCAGGCGAAGACTAACCATCCAAGATGTGGAAGTGGATGATGATGGAGTATATCTCTGTGAGATGCCAGATGGGGCAAAGAGCATAGCGGAGCTGTCGGTCAAAGGTATTCGCCACCAGGTCATCTTTTATCTTTGCGAGCCTTATTCATATGAAGGTGAGTGGCCGTAAGAATATTCACACTAACTCTTACTCTTTCAGGTAAAATCGTGCGTAAACTTCCACGAAAGGTGGAAGTGTATGAAGGCGAGAATGCTGCATTCTGTGTGGAAGTGGAGGACGAAGACATGGAGATCCTTTGGTTCAAAAATGGGCTAAAGCTGCATGAGACACACCAGACAATTCTCAAGTCTTTTGGGAAAACGCACGTTCTGGTCTTTGTCAACGTGGCCCATCAGGACTCCGGGGTGGTGACTTTTGTGACGGGAAGATCGAAAACCTCGTCACGTCTTAAAGTTAGAGGTATGCTGTCGTTCTTTGTTTTCAGGATTTCTTTCTGTCATTTGTCTGTCATGTCATTTCGTCTTTTATTTATGTTTTTTAATGCAGTGACCTAGACCTTTCAAAATATGTACATGCATACTGTATGTATGATTGCCAATTCACATCTTACATTAGATGATCCTAATTACTGCACTACTTACTGGTCACTTTATTTTGCATAACTGCTGTCATACTAGAGTGGCTCAAACTACCGGCGACACATTCCTATAAGGAGGTTTTACATACTTGGCCAGTAAAGCTGATTCAGATTAAAGAACGAGTGCATGCTCTATAAATCCCAGATGTTTATAACAAGCAAAAATAGTCAAATCTTAGCAAATTGCATTCCATTTTTGATGCAGGATCAGAAGCTATCTGTAGTTTAGTCGGGACTTCATTCAGATTTCCCAAATAAAATGTAACGTGAAATACCATTGAACCCATCCAGAAAATTATGTTAATGTTGTCCGACTGGGGAAACTAACAGGAGGAAGTGTTGGTAGTCACTGACTTTGCAGGTGACCAATGGCAGAGATCTTCAATGTCAGAGTGCTTTTATATTTTGATCGAAAGAAAAGAGCTGAAATCATTTTTCTGGTAGAATTACTAATGCTTTTCTTGAAGCCGCAAGACACCGACCACCAATTTGTCCACTTGGAGTCAAAATGGATTTGGATGGCCCAAATGGCGCCCTGCTCTCTTGGGTTGCTGCGCCGGACAACCAGACGACTCGCTCTATCTTTGTGGTGGAGAGTCAGGAAGTGGGGTCACAAGAGTGGAAGAAATGCTTTACTTCGGAGAACGCCACCTCAACGGAGATCCGCAGTGACAGTGTACCACACGAGGGAGACTACCGCTTTAGAATCTGCTGCATCAACAAGTACGGCCGCAGTGGCCATGTCGAGTTTCCAAAAGTTGTCCATATGGGTAAGTTATATTCTACACTGTCGTTTCAAGAATACAGCCACTGACAAAATATAACGTGTGAAATTTGGATCCCAATTGTGAGGTTTCTCACTTTTTTCAGTTCCAGGAATAAAGATTTGCAGTCACCTTCAGGACCTGGAGGTGACAGAGGGAGAGGATGCTCTCTTTTCCATCGTGTTGTCAGCCTCAGTAGTTGGTACCTGGTTTTTGAACAGTGCTCAGCTGCAAGACGGCGGACGATACACAATAAAACAGTCCAAAACACAACATATGTTGGTTATCCATGAAACTCTCGCTGCAGAGGACGTGGCAGAGATCACGTTTATCGCCAATGGGGTGCGAAATTCAGCAGTTCTCAAGGTTAAACGTACGTGAAGCAATCTCTTGTTTGTTGTTGTCAAACTGAGCCTCAGATGAGTTCATAATGTTGAGTATGCAGCCTACTTGTGTCTTTGCAGCCGCAGTCATGAAATTCAGCCCTGTGCTGGAATCTGACAGGACCAAGAAGGTGGAGACCGGTGACATCATTGTGCTCTACTGCGAAGTATCCCACCCTTCAGCCCAAGTATGCTGGTTCAAAGACGGTGAGGAGCTGCAGGTGAGCGATGCCCTAAACATCCAATCAGATGGGATCATGAGGAGAATTGTGATTCAGTCAGCGGAGAAACATCACACTGGAGTTTATACATGTCAGACATCGGGGGACATGATCACATTCATGGTCGAAGTTGCAGGTAAAGTGCCTGAACAAATTCTATACTTGTACAATACCTTGTATTATGTATGCTAGTCTATATGTATGTATGCTAGATATTCATTCAAATTTTAAATGTGCCGTCATTATCATTGCTGCTAGCCGGTCGGTGCGTTCACATTTTAAAAGAAGGTCAAATTAAAGTTGACCTGTAAAGGTTCTACTGCATTTTCGGTTAATTCTCAAAGATGAAATGTGCTTTGCAACATCGAACGCATTTATGCCCTTTTCGGACAATCACTTTGGAGATACAGTTGCCAGAGAATCAGTAAAACATCTCTCCATCATTGTTTCAGGTCCTTCAGTGGAGTTCATTCCAGCCCCGGAGGAAGACCTTCATAAAAGCAGCATGGAACTTGACCCTGTGGTGCTGCTCTGCCATGTCTCCAGAGAGGATGCTCAAGTTCTGTGGTAAGAGAGTAGACAAGAGGAATTTATCTGGTGCACGTTTTTATGCAATGTTCTCACTTTTGTTGCTTAATGAAGTTGGTTGTTTCTGATTTTATTTCAAAATGTGTATCTGGTATGGTCTGGTCCAGGTACAAGGATGGTTGTGAAATCAAACCCAATGACAACATCACTCTGCAGGCAGAGGGAACACTTCGGAGGTTGATTATCCGTTCTGCCGAAACCTCCGATGCCGGCAACTACATCTGCCAAGCGGAAAACAACAGGATGGAGTTCACCGTTAATGTTAGAGGTGGGTTGCAATGAAACAAGTAGTGCAACAGCAAAAGAAAAAGCTCTTTTTTAAACAACTACAAATCAAGCCCCGCAATTGCTCCACAGAACCCCCGGTGATCATTGTAGAGCCGAAAGATGATGTCATGATGGAACGTTACATTTCGGAGGACATTCACATGCAGTGTGAGTTGTCTCGCTCAGCCGGGAAAGTCCAATGGTTCAAGAATGGAGAAGAGGTGGAGGAGAGCGGCAATATCCAGCTGACCAAAGAGGGTCCCTACAGACGCTTGACCATTCTCCACAGTACGGTGGAGGATGGGGGGGAGTATGTCTGCGAAACAAATGGGGACTCTGTATTCTTTCAATTGATTGTCACAGGTAAAACCGAAATTGGATTTCACAATGAACACACATACAGTGTGTTTGATATGCAGGCTTCAATCATATTTCCTTTATGCACCAGAGCCTCCCATACAAATTATTTCCCCCACTGAATCTGAGCTGAAACTCACTCACCTGGCTTCCACCAAGCTAGAGCTCAACTGTCAGATCTCACATTCTGATGCTCATGTCACGTGGTACAAAGACAGCTTAGAGGTGGAAGAGTGTCCAAACCTCATTCTGGAAGTGGATGGAGCAAAACGCCGGCTGGTTATACCTGTGGCCTCTGTGAAGGACGCAGGAGAGTATGTATGTGATACTGAACATGACTCTGTTGCCTTCATAGTGACTGTTACCGGTAAGAATTAAGGTGGATGTTTTACTTGAAGATACTCATGTAAAATGTTAATTAATGGTTTTTCATTCATTTAGAGCCACCAGTGGCGCTTTCCTGCCCTGAAAACACACCGAGGACGCTGGAGTGTTTTGCAGGGAAGTCAATCGTACTGGAAGTCAAGGCCTCTCGCCTCAATGCAGATGTGAAGTGGCTGCGAAACGGCCAAGAAATAGAGGGGAGCAACTTTGTGGCCATCACGGAGAATGGCTTACTACGTCGTCTTGAAATCCTCTCGCCTTCTCCAATGGATTCTGGCACATACACCTGTGATGCTATAGATGACAGACTTGACTTCCAGGTTAACATTTTAGGTAAGGCTGCTAACCAGTTGTGCATATCTGGGTTTGTTTTGGCCATTGTAACTTATTTATTGTTTTATGTGTAATTCTGCAACTTTAGAGCCCCCAGTGAATATCTTAAGGAAGTCTGAGATTCACACAAATCTCAAGGTATTACCTTCTGATGACATTGTGCTAGAATGTGAGCTGTCCAGAGATAATGCTAAAACCAAATGGTACAAAGATGGCTGTCGTATTGAGTGTGACGGTAGATTCTGTGAGGAGGAAGAAGGCGCGTTTCGCTCACTTGTCATTCTCAACGCTGAGCTTGGAGACTCTGGAGAATACTTTCTGGATGCTGGAGACGATAACATCGGATTCCAGGTTACGGTGCAAGGTAGCATTTACTGTACAGCAGCAAATCAATGCTTCACATTTGAAAAACCAATTTTAAGTTATTGTCTGCGTCAGAGTCTCCGGTGACTATTGTGGGCAACTCTAAAGATGCTGACTTCCAGGAGATGACAACGGGCGATGACCTAATACTGGCTTGTGAGTTGTCCCGTGCAAATGCTCCAGTCCAATGGTACTGCAATGACAAGCTGCTTGTCAGTGATTCCCGCATCCATATAGAATGCTGCGGGACTCTGAGGAAAATCATCATTTCAAATGTTCAACCTTCGGATTCCGGAAAGTACACGTGTGATGCAGTAGACGACAAGATGATCAGTGTTGTTCAGGTTCAAGGTACAGCCATCCCCTCAAGTATCATTCGGTGCATACAGTACAGGGAACTGACGTAACTTTTTTTTTTTTTGGTATTCTTAAAGAGCCTCCGGTGACATTCCTGAAGAAGGAAGATGGCATTGTTGTGACTGGTTATGAGGCAGAAAGTGTGACCTTGACAAGCTTTGTGTCCAAAGAGAGTGCTCTGGTGCACTGGCTCAAAGACTGGACCCCCATCGAAGATGAGCGCTTCCAGGCACTAATGGAAGGCCACAGGCGTAACCTCACCATTGCACCTTTGAGGCGCTCGGATGCTGGCGAGTACACCTGTGATGTCAAGACTGACCAAATTCACTTCAGCTTGCTGGTAAAAGGTACAAACTGTTTTTGACATCTGATTATTCATGTGGAATCCGAGATTAAAATATACTGTATATGTTTGGGTTATCTCTGTATTGCAGGAATGAGAATTAAGTTTGTAAAGCCAATGCAAGACACTGTAGCCCATGCTGATGGAATGGTGACTCTCCGCTGCGAAGTGTGCAAGCCCAAAGCAGATGTACTGTGGTTGAAAAATGGCGTGGAAGTGGTTCCGAACAGGAGGTTTTCCATTCGAGCAGATGGAGTCGAGAGATGTTTGACTATACATCGTTTGACACGAGAGGATTCTGGAGAGTACGCCTGCGAATCCAAAGATGACCGCACAGCGGCGAGACTTGTAGTAAAGAGTAAGCATGCCTAGATGATTCCATTGTACCTGAAACGTGATTCATACACATTGTTTTGTCACTTCAGTGCCTCGGGTGGTTGAGTTTCTTACTGAGCTTCAGAACACCACCGTGCTGGAAGGAGAGGATGCTACCTTCAAGTGTGTGGTTTCGCCCGAGGATGTCCAGTTGGTTTGGTTCATGGACAACGAGGTGATCAATCTCAGTGACCGTATCCAGGTTACACAGAATGGCTTGTGCCACACCTTAGTGATGAGGAGGTGCCACATGTTGGACTGTTCCAAAATCAGAGCTGAAGCTGAAGGGACAATGAGCAAAGCAAATCTCAGAGTGCAAGGTAGGTGTATTGGAAGTAAAATGTGTGCATAAACTACTTTTTTCCCCCAAAAATATCAAAATGGAGTGCATTAACTTGATGTCGCCTTTCTCCTTCGTGTTCAGAGGCTCACGTTATGTTTACAAAGAAAATGGAGGCTGTCATGGCAGAGGAGTTTGGTGATGCCACCCTGGAGACGGAGATTAGCCTTGAGACAGGCGAGGTGCAGTGGATGAGACAGGGGCTGGTCATCCAGGCCGGGCCACGATATTCACTCAACCAAAATGGATGTCAACGCAGTTTGACCATACACAATCTAAATCTGTCGGATCGCGGAACCTACCGTTGTGAGACTCTGCACGACAGGACCCAGGTCAAGCTAAATGTAGAGCGTAAGTGGTCAAGCGATACGCTGTCAGGCTCGAGGAGCATTATAAGAAATTCTTGAAATTGTTTTTTCTAATTCAACCTTGTCATCCAATGTAGCCCGCAAAATCTCCATTCGTAAAGGCCTGATTGACCAGGAAATCTTAGAACGTGAGACGGCATCTTTTGAGGTGGAGTTGTCCCACATTGACGTAGAGGGCATTTGGCAGAAGGACGGCATTCGGGTGAAGCCAAACAACCAGTTTAGGGTAAGCACCAATGGGCGTGTCCATGGCCTCACCCTTTCCAGTCTCACCCTGGAGGACACAGGTACCATTGTCTTCTCAGCCGAAGGGGTGCGCACGACTGCCAGGCTCACAGTCAAAGGTAACAGTGGATTTTTTTGTTTTGTTTTGTTTCCACTGTTTCCTGTATAATTATTTACAAATGATAACATTAACAGAGACACCAGTTACCACACTAAAAGCTCTGGTTGATGTCCGCGTGGAAGAAGAATTTCCTGCCACTCTGGAGTGCGAATTCTCTCGACAAAATATCGAAGTCAGATGGTTCAAGGTAAAATGATTGGCATCTTGAATACAGAATGAACCTTAAAATGGACAAAATATGAGAACTAAACGTGTCTATCTTCAACAATAAACCAGAATGGGACTGAACTGAAGCCAGGCAAGAACTGTCGGATCTATTCCATGGGGCGAAAGAAGTTCTGTCAGATTCTGCAGTGCTCTCTGGCAGACTCTGGCATCTACACTTGTGATGTGGGGGAAAGCAGCACTTCTTGTTCTTTGGAGGTTTATGGTGATGAAAACACAAAAATTGCTTACATATACTGCATGTTCATTCGGATCGCTTTCTCCGATTCAACCCTGTTTCCTGAACTTATAGCGCACGAGCTGACGATTCTGCAAGACCTAGAGGACCTTTACATCCAGGAGGACCAGAACGCAGTCTTCATGTGTGAGGTTTCCCTAGGCAACGTGAGCGGAGACTGGTATAAGGACGGCCACAAGATTCGTCCCACCAGCACTATCAAGACTCGCACGGAAGGTCATTTTGCAACACGTTATCACTGAAAATTATGATAATTCCTTCTTGCAATCATTTGTTCAGTCTATATCCCAGGTGACATATGGTGGGATGTGGCATACACCGTAAACTGATCAAATACAAAAACGACCAAAGAAAACACTGTTCAGGGTTGCCTATCCCAGCTGACAATGACACTTAACTCAACTTATAGACAGTGACTGACTGGTAGAATGTCCCAATTACGATGTGACTTTGAGCAATTGTGACTGGCACATTGCGTGGAATCTGTCACATGCAAATTCTGACATAACGAACACTAATATCGCCAGACGTAAGGCAATGACACGTACATTCTTTTATTTCAGGAACTAAACACTTCCTGCTGATGTGCAATGTCAAAGCTGAGGATGCTGGAGAAATACGATTTGTTAGCAGAGACGTTGAATCTTCGGCTTACCTTGAAGTAGAAGGTACAATGGCTGTGACGGTCCTCTGTGTGGTGTGGGAGATCAATATCTTGAAAATTTTTCATCTCACTTCAGAACTCCCAGTGTCAATTGTCAAACCATTGCGGGACAGGACAGCTTTGGAGAAACACCGTGTCATCCTGGAGTGCACCACATCTTCAGCTAGCTGTAGTGCTACCTGGTACCGGGGCAAGGAGAGGCTTGTGCCCTCTGATCGAATGGCTCTCCTCGTCGATGGTTGCTGTCATAAACTCGTGATCCAGCAGGTAGCAGTTGAGGACGAGGGCACATACAGTATTGAAGTTGGGGAGCATACCTCCCAAGCCAAACTCTTGGTGGAAGGTAGGAACAGTTAACGTGTTAATTCCATTAATGTTACTGCAATATTTATTGATATTTTTTGGTCAGTAATAAGAAACAACAATATATTCAGCCCAGGAGCTTGTGATCCTGCAAGAGCTGGAGGATGTGGAGGCAACAGAGAATGAACCGGCGGTTTTCCAGTGCAAAGTCTCTGTTGCTATCAGCAGAACCCCAGTTTGGACGCTCAACGGTGAGAATATTCAGCCTGGCCCCTCCGTACGCCTGGAGAACCACGGCACTGTGCACAAACTCACACTGAAGCACACTAGTATGGACATGAGTGGCGTGGTGAAGTTCAATGTTGGTAAAGCGAAGAGCAGCGCCATTCTCACTGTGAGAGCATGCAAATGATCTGAAACTGGAAAGCAGCCTCTATTTACGATTTTCATTGCACTTTTTTTTTTAAAACAGTGATACTCATTTTCCTGCTCAATTTACTCTGTTCAACAGAGGTGGAAATATGTCCTACATGATCAATTCATAAATTTCACGCCTTAATCTTCAACTTTCAAACAAGACCCAAGTTACTATGGGGAAAAAAATTGAGTCCCCATTAGATTTCAAGGAATTTGGGTCAAGGCATTACTTGGTTAACCCAAGCAAGTGATACAATCTTGTTTACGCAAAAAACGTACACAGATTAACCACTTGCACTCATCTAGCTGTAAACCTACTAACAGACCAACAATGCCAAAACAGTCTCTCTATTGTCTATTAGTTTATTGTCGAATTAAACCCATACCTGACAAAAAGCTATGAACAGCTAGCTAGCTGTTATTTGTCTAGCTCTGTGAATAAATTGCCAAGAAGCTTACCTGTCATTGTGGTTTTATTGTGAAGTCTGAGCTGTCTTTTTTTTGAATTGCAAAACTTGCCAGTCGCCATTCTCTTTTTCCCCAAACTTAATCACTGAATTCAAATTACCTAAAGGTGACCTGTTTTCTCAGTTTCATCATTTGACATGAGCAAGCTAAACCATGATTGGTCATTACCAGTGGACAGCAAGTGGCAAAGTGGCCACCGCCTGAGATGGATAAAAACTGGGATTTTCCTGTTTAATTCATATTCCACAAAAGCAAGAATAATCAGAATGCCGTGTTTAGACTAGTGGGGGTGCACAGAACATATACTAAAGAAACATGAAACTAAAACGTCCTGTATAAGGAACCTCGAGGACTGGGGTTGGACACCCGTGTCTAATTCTGAACCTGGGACCCCTCCACCGTGAGGCAGATGAGCAATCGATTAACTCTTAAAACCCATCTACATATGTATGATTATTCAAATATAATTTTTTGATCCTCCAGGTGTGTCACCCATCACTCAACAGATAAACAAACTCAAGATGACAAACAACATTGTTCATTTAGCATTTATGGGAAAAGGGCATTGTTACATAGTTCGTGTATAACATGGCATGATAAAATAGGTCAAACATTAGATTACAACTATTAAATCATGAGTACAGTAACATGGATGTTGTATATATTAATGACATTTGTTTGCTTCCTGGCTGTGCAAAACGTGAACAAATCTACTGAACGCGTGAGGTACAGTAGTGGCCCTGTAGTGACACTTTTGCTTTAAAGGCAAAGCCCTATAAATAAAAGCCACCTGGTGTGAGCACACCAAACAAACATTTTACTGTTATGTGCCTAGAACAGTATGATTTATTTTAGTAACTTGCTGGTGTTTCTTCGCCAAATTTGGCTCCATGTTCAATCTCACTGAAAAGGTTAATTCGAATAGCCAACAGCCATAAACGTGACAACGAAATGCATCAGATGACACCTCACGAGCCAGAGACAAAAGGAATCATAATTTTTTTTTTTCATTTGGTTTTGTTTGTTTGTTTTTTTTTTTTTTAAAGAATGGAGTTTGATTGACAGGAACTTCAAAAGCATACAGAAATACTGTAAAATATGTTTGTCATCCCTGCTTTCGCTGAGGAGCGGTACTGCAAAAAGGACAATCCAGTCATTCAGCTGCGGCTGTTTGATTTTGTCATTTGCATACATGGGGGAGTCGAAACAATCCAAGAGGCTTGTTGGATCCAACACAGCTCCTTTAAACTCACCGAACATGTCAAATGTCACCTGGTTGGTCTCTCACAACGCCACCGTGAAACGATGCACTTGGACTCCGACGGACAGACGAGACAACTGTGGCATAATTGTAGCTGCACTGACAGATCTCAAAACAATCAGACAGATGACAGTATTGACCAAGAAATCGTTCGGTGTCGATTGTAGCTTTAAATACAGACATCGTAACACACTTTTTACCCCCTGCATGAGATTGTTTCCAGCCTATGTGTACCGTTTCGGAATACAAAGGAAAAAAAAGTCACTGTACTTAGACAAAAATGAAAAAAAGCCATGCGGTCACATTCTGCTCCTCCAATGCTGCACTGAAGAGTTCAAGTTTCACTTTCAAAAGGTGGAAGCGAGCCTGTCAAATACGAATCAATTTGCAGAAAATGTGACCTGGGTGACTTGGAAATGTACACCCACAAATCAGATGCTTTTGAGGGATGTGGCAGGTTTGTCTTGTCTTTGTGGCAAGGCTAAAATCATAAAGTTTTAAAAGGCACCTTCGGGAGGCCAGCTAAGGTTCAGTGAAAAGTGAACTGATGAAATCTCAGCAGTCCAGAGAGTTCAATGCTGACAACAGAGGAAAGGGTCCTTAACCATTTGCTCATCCATTGACATGCGATCACCACTTCCGAGGGAGTGAGGAAATGGAGCATTAATGTAGAGCAATTTTCTGGATGACCCGGGGGTAGCAGCATTAACACTACCGTAGACTCCTCACTTGGGGTAGGCTGGAAAGAGCCTGCGTTTGGGTTGGCAGTGGAAGCTGCAGTCTTGCATGCGTGTGTGTGTGTGTGTGTGTGTGTGTGTGTGTGCGCGCGTGTGTGTGTGTGCGCGCGCGTGCGCGCGCAGGCACAACAGATTAGCATGCCATTCTGTCCAAATTCTGTTAGCTTGTGGCCCCCCCTTGGTGCTTAAGGACAGAATAGACATTATCCACTTTGCTTAGCCGCTCGAAGAAGGGAATGAGGTCCAGAAGCTCAGTGTCAGACATGTCGTCGAACCAAGAGGCCACGGGCACCTGCGAGTGACCAAACAAACTGTCAGTGTATGAAGCGCCACCACGAATATCCATCCATCCGTTTTCGAATCCGCTTCGGGTCGCGGGCGAGCAGGAGCCTATCCCAACTGTCTTCGGGCAGTAGGGGAGGTACACCCTGAACTGGTTGCCAGCCAATCGCAGGTCACACAGAGACGAACAACCATTCACGCTCACATTCTCACCTAGGGACAATTTAGACTGTTCCATTAACCTGCCATGCATGTTTTTGGAATGTGGGAGGAAGCCAGAGTACCCGGAGAAAGCTCACACAGGCACGGGAAGAACAGGCTAACTCCACACAAGAAGGCCAGAATCGAACCCTGCACCTCTGCACTGTGAGGTGGACGTGCTATCCAGTCAATCACTGTGCCGCCCCATCAAGAATAGGTTTTTGTTCAACATCAAATATTCACTCTCATTTTTATTCTAATTTTCATTTTGCACGAAGGATAATATCACCCATTATACAACTCTGTCCCAATACATGCAATTTATCCAGAGTTGATGCTTAAAAAACATTATTCCAAACTCTTCATCCTTTTGGAAAATGTTATTCGAATTGTCAAAGCCTTTCCTTTAGTCTCCCCAAGAAAGTCAACATCACTAAGCATAACTCCATCCATCTTTTTTGTTGCTGTAATTGCCTCTTGTTTCAAGTTGATCTGTACTTTTCGATTTGTAATGTCATGTAGTCAATAATAACATTTTTTTTTTTTTTAATGGACAAATGCCGTCCAAACAAAATTACTCACAGCGTTGTCAGGATGGAAGATGTAAGAGGCAGGAGAGTTGTCGACTATGATGACCTTGTTAAGGTCCCGGCCAAGGCGACTGAGGTCCTTGACATAATTTCCTCTGTGGAAGACGCAGGACTCCCGGAAGAGGCGGCAGCGGAAGGCTCCCCACTTGTCCAGGAGGTCGGAGACAGGGTCGGCATACTATGTCGGCAATAAAGGCAATGGAGAAAATTAACGGTGAATTTTTTATTTGCTTATTTATTTTTTTAACTGTCCTGTTCAGCTGCTTGGTTACGCAGGAAAAATGGATGTGTCTTTTTATACCGAACAGTGAAGTTTTGTAAAATCCCTGGTAGTTTTTATTGTGATCGTAGAACAAGGTTTGAGAGGTGGCTGACAGAGAAAAGGGAACAAGGGGAGGGGGGGGGAGAGCGAGAGAGAGACCCCCCACCTCCAACAAAATAGCAGAATAAAACAGTGTGTGATTAATATGTGATGTAGGAGTCGGGTTCAATCTACATTATAAGCGTAAGAATGGGACAGTCCAGGCTAAGGGGCCAAACAGTGCAAATGCTTTGTGATAGTGGGGGGAGTGCTGAGGCAGGTATGGTGAATTGTAAACAAACAGACATGGACAGACACCTCACCTTGGCTAAACTGGCGGTGAACAGGACACACTCGAACATTTCTCCCATCCTTTTCAGGAACTCATCCACATGAGGCCGCTTCAGGACATACACCTAAAAATCATGGACACTGTTAAACCGGAATGAATTTTAGAAGCTATGTTTGTATGCATCGAAAGCCATGTAAAAGTGAAAGGTCATTAACCATTTACACCAGAAGCACCCAAACTACAGCCTGGGGGACATTTGCAGCCCACCATCCATTTCTTTTAGTAGCCTTCAGCATACGGTAGAAATAAAAATTGACTGGGCCCATGCCATTTGCCTACACCGGAGGTCGGCAACACGCGGCTCGAGAGTCGCATGCGGCTCTTTAGCGCCCCCCAGTGGCTCCTTAGAGCTTTTTAAAAAATGTTTGAAAACGGAAAAACATGGGAGGGATATATATATTTTTTTGTTTTAATATGGTTTCTCTCAGAGGACAAACATGACACAAACATTATTAACGTTTTCCGATGCTGTGAAAATGTGTCGAATAAATATAAAATGTCAGCATTTCGTCAACCAATACTTGCATCACAGCCTGCAACACACGTTTCTATTAGCAGGGCGGGATGGCAGTCAGGGGGCCGTTGTTTAAAAAAAAAAACAAAAAAAAAAAAACGCTGCCTTTCATGTACAATTCACTGAGGGTACTTGCTAAGAATGGGAATTTGAGCGGCCAAGAGAAGCATTTTTAAACGGTACATGTGAGCTATGATAGGTAGCACGCTCCGAAAGTGCGTCCCGTGCCTCGTTCATCTTAGAGGCCGTTACGGCTGTTGCTCATTACGGCATGCGTGTGTAAGTGTGTGCGTATACGCGCGTGTGCGGTAACGGGTCAATAGCGGGAGGTTGGTGGTTCGAAAAGTAGATCTTCCGGCAAAAAGGTTTGGGCAACCCTCCTCTACAGGATGAACTGCAGGGGGAAAAAAAAAACGTTTCATCATGAATGCTCGTTGTGTATTTGTAGCTAACTTAGTCATGTTGATAGTCGGCTAATATAGCTCATATAGATACATACATCATGTGTTGCCTTCATTATAAGGCTTATTTTTTGCGGCTCCAGACATATTTGTTTTTTGTTTATTTTGGTCCAATATGGCTCTTTTAACATCTTGTGTTGCCGACCCCTGGCCTACACTGTACTACTGTACTTATTTTCAACACTGGGGGGCAAGGCAGGAGAAGAGAACAAACGTTTGCTTGTTTTCTCCCAATTATACTTCACTAAAATAGTAAAAAAAAAAAAAAAAAAAATTGCTAACTTATGATAAATAAG